ACTTACAGAATTTAAAAGACACTGCATTTCACACGTTAAAATTGCCTTTTGAACAGTTATCCAGTGATTTTTTTTTATGAATTGACAAATTATGTATCTTCACGAAGTTATCTCTAACGGATTATTTTATATGGATAGCTGTCATAAATTTTTTTTAATAATTATTGTAGCACTGCAAAAACTATTTCTGTTCGCCTCGCGGGTGATGATGGATTTTTAATATTTGATTTTATAGTAGATTAATTTAAAAAAAAAAAGTAAAAGTAGTCTTAGTAGTAGGTTTGAGCCTCGCACGCGTATTACGGATATGAAGAACTGAATTTAACATTTGATAAAAAAATGTAATTTTGAAGCTTATTTGGAAGATACCTTGAGTTAGTAGTAAGTTTTCTGGCAAATGGTGGGGGCTCGTGAGCATTCCTGACATTGCTGAAAATTATGATAGCAACAGATTGCGTGGTTGCTAGTGTAATAGGATGCTTTGTGATTGTTCATTAACTCTTGATCGCTTGTAATACTTATGAATATTTTCGGTGGACAAAAAGCCGAACTAAGAGGTGAACGCCTAAGCTTTTTCACATTTATATCGCTGTGAAGTAACTGTAAACTCTAGATGAAATTTATATTTGTAACTGTAACCAGTTCGTTTTTTTGCTAACCTGGTTAAAATGTTTACATTTAATTATCTTAAAGATAAATCGTCCTGCTCATACCTTTGTAGGGGTAAGAGGTGGGACCGTCATCATCATCATCATCTTCGTTTTGCGCACGAAAATGCGTAATTTTGTCTTCAGAAAACGAGGCGCTTCCGTGATGGGAAAAAGTGCTTTCCCTATCACAGCCGCCGAATATTGATACCGACCACGTAATCCTACGTCAAATCTACGGTCGTGTCTTGGATACAACCTCTTACTTTTTTTGTAAGTTTAAGCAGGATTCTGTGATATTCTGAAAATATTTTTCATGTCGTGTCGTGTGTAAAGAACAGTTACCCTTCAAATTTATTACAGGGTGTCGACTCAATGAATAAAACCAAATTTCCTGATTTCTCTGATTTTCCAATAATTTTTCAAAAATAATCCAGGTGCAGTTCTTCCCCGGTTTTAGCAACACGATCCTATCAGCTATCGTGCAGTTGGGCTACAATATGGTGAGTTGACAACCTGGAAGTAGCGGAATACCTAGCTCTGGTCCTCACAAATTCCTATCTCACGTCTCCCCGAGTCATATGATAACAAAAAACTACCAGCTGAAACATGGACACAGCTGGGTGGCGTAGCCTGGACAATGTCCAGCAATAGCAAAGTGAAGAGGTGCGACACGCGCACTGGCGCGGTAACCATAGTACGGTGATAGAGGAAATGCTTCATCAAACCCGAGCGTCTGTTCTCCATGTTAGGAGCGGCTAGTCCTAGTGCCAGCGTGGGACTCTAAACAGAGCTGTGCGCGATGGTCCCCAAGCGAGACAGGGGGTTGGAACTCGGAACATGGAATTGCAAATCACTCGGCTTCCCGGGCTGCGATAGGTTAATCTATGACGAACTTCAACCACGCAACTTCGAAGTCGTAGTACTGCAGGAACTTTGCTGGACGGGACAAAAGGTATGGAAAAGCGGGCATCGAGCGGCTACTTTCTACCAGAGCTGTGGCACCACCAACGAGTTGGGAAGCGGCTTTGTAGTGCTGGGTAAGATGCGCCAACGCGTGATTGGTTGGCAGCCAATCAACGCGAGGATGTGCAAGTTGAGGATTAAGGGCCGTTTCTTCAACTACAGCATCATCAACGTGCACTGCCCACACGAAGGGAGACCCGACGACAAGAAAGGACGTTCTATGCGCAGCTGGAGCAAGTGTACGACGGCTGTTCGCAACGGGACGTCAAAATCGTCATTGGCGACATGAACGCTCAGGTAGGACGGGAGGCAATGTACAGACCGGCAATTGGGCCAAACAGCCTGCATGCCGTATCGAACGACAACGGCCAACGATGCGTGAACTTTGCAGCCTCTCGGGGTATGGTACTCCGAAGTATCTTTTTCCTCCGCAAGGATATCCACAAAGCCACCTGGAGATCACTTTCTAATCACGTTCTAATCGACGGGAAACTCTTCTCCGACATTATCAACGTCCGCACGTACCGCAGTGCGAACATAGATTCGGACCACTACCTAGTTGCAGTATGCATGCGCTCAAAACTCTCTACGGTGCATAACACCCGTCGAAGTCGAACGCCACGACCCAACATTGAGCAACTACGGGACACCGGAGTTGCCCAGGACTACGCGCAGCAGCTGGAAGTTGCACTACCCCAGGAAGAGCACCTTGGCGTAGCTACTCTTGAAGATGGCTAAAGGGACATCCGGCAGCGGCACTAGGTACTGCGATCCCGGACCGAAGAAATGACTGGTTTGATGGCGAATGGAAGCGCCAAGCGCGGAACAGACAAAACTCGGTTTTCCGAAGGAAGAAGCGTAAACGACACACGGAAGTTATACGAGAAGCTAAGTAGTTCGCGCAAAGGCGACGATGAATCGAGTGATGTGCGTTGTTCGAGTCCTTTGAATCTCGAAGGGAGTTACGGCAAGATGATGGACTTTCGTGTCTGCTATTCAACATAGGGTTAAAAGGTGTCAGAAGAGCTGGGATAGACACGAGTGGCACGATCTTCAGGAAGTTCATCAAGTTTCTTGGCTTCGCCGAAGACATCAACATCATGGCACGGAACTTTGAGACGATGGCGGAAACGTACATCAGACTGAAGCTAGGCGAATTGGACTTGCCATCAACGCATCAAAGACAAAATACATGAAAGGAAGAGGTTCTAGGGAAGACAATGTTAGCCTCCCACCCCGAGTTCAGATTGACGGTGACGAAATCGAGGTGGTCGATGAGTTCGTGTATTTGGGCTCACTGGTGACCGCCGAAAATGATACCAGCAGAGAAATTCAAAGACGCATTATGGCAGGGAATCGTGCCTACTTTGGACTCCGGAGGACGCTCCGGTCGAATAAAATTCGCCGCCGCACGAAGTTGACCATCTACAAGACGCTGATTTGACCGGTGGTCCTCTACGGCCACGAGACCTAGACTATGCTCATGGAGGTGTTTTCGAACGGAGGAAGGTGTTGCGTACCATCTACGGTGGAGTGCAGATGGATGACGGAACGTAGAGGAGGCGAACGAACCACGAATTGCACCAGCTGCTGGGAGAACCATCCATTGCCCACATTGCAAAAATTCGGCGACTACGGTGGGCTGGTCGTCGTAGGAATGCCGCACGACGACCCAGTGAAGATGGTTCTCGAAAGCGACCCAACAGAAACAAAAAGAAGAGGCGCGCAGCGGGCAAGGTGGATCGACCAAGTAGAAGGAGACCTGCGGACAGCAGATGACAACAAGGCCTTAGTCTGATTAGTAAGTAAGTCATTTGCTTGATATTGATGACATTGTTTGTGTGGCATTCTAAATTTATCATCAATGGCAACCGGCTGGCATTTTTCCCAATGATTACATCCTCAATCGAAAACGTGTCGGTCGGTAAGCCCCAGTTTGACAAGCTTCTTAATGGCCACCCACATTAGATCCGTTTGCGTTCCGTTGACGTAAATTTGACAGTTAGACAATAGATTTAGCTGTCACTTTGCCGCAACGCGTCCGATCCGAGCTAATGTGCGTGGGCCTTTATTGTCATAGCATTACCCAACCCCAGCGTAGTCAAAACTTGTCAGGTGTACATACAATTTCTCGTTTAAAGAGAAGCCCGAATATAAGCTGTTCTGGATGAAATTACGAGACGCCGGTTGAATTCTTGATTGAATCGTTGTTTTACCATACATAAAGACAACACATTCTCTCTCTTCACTTTTGAGTAAACAAAGTATTCAACCGAGTAGTCAACGATTGACAAAACGTCAACTCGCAACAGTGATGCCGTTTTATATTATATTGCTTGAGTCCTACTTGTCAAAGTGTGCCCTAACGTACCGAACAGTGTGCCATGTTGTGTTTCAGCATCAGTGTGCAGAGTTGATTACCCCTTGGGCGTTAGTCAAAACGGCCGAATTCCGGCACAAACTTGGTTCATTGCCCCCAGCGAACAATTATGCGAAGTTCCGTGGAATTCGGAAAGGGGAAAAAAATAAAATCGATTCGTCAGTTGGCGTGGAACTGCTCTTCTGAGAATGTTTAAAATATTTTCGAAAAACCCTGAAGATCTTCTAAGAACTAATAATGTGAAGGTTAGTACGCACGCAGATTTGTAGTAGAAAATTGACAAAAGAAATCAGAAGGACTCCTGCGAGTTTGTTGCATTTTTTTTTATTCTCAGCTGACTTCAATATGTTCTTAGCTTTTTCATAAAACCAAACTGCTATGCCTCTTGGAAGATTTAAAACTATACAATTCCACTGAACATCACCTGCAGTTGGTGGTTTCCAGAACCGTGTTGGACAACATCCAAAGTTCCGCGAACCCCACAATTAAAGTAAATCAATCTCCCAATTTGAATCAACAAATTCATTCCCATCAGTCGCAATTCGCTTCTGCCTAATATCCAGCCGGTGTCCAAATATAGCGCTATTCCGTTGCGGTAAACACACACACGCATCGTAAATCGGTACAGTCCAATTTTGGAGCCTGCTCGGTACTCTATCATCCATTGATCTGACATCGGCGTTGACAAGCGGGAAGTGGGAAAATATTTACTGCTAGCTGTGCACCCGCAAGGTCACGCAATTCCATTCAATATGTAGCAAGTTTTGTCAAGTCAACAAACGAGTTGTTGCAGGGTGCAATGAAGCCATCAACACCCTCCCAAAGTGAGTGCGTTCGTTCCCCGTGTGCGGTTGCTGTTTGTTTTATTGTTTGTTTGTTTGTTTTCCAGAGATCCGGGCACACAGAGAGAGAGAGGTGTCAGATTTCAGCAACCTTCAGCAGAGCTAAGCTGCAAGATTGTATCTACCTACGCCTATTTACTACATTCAATGTGTGATTAGATTAGTGTGCATGCGGTGTGCTCAATCGTTTAGTTATTTATTGAAATAAGGGGGAGAGCTGCGAACGCTTCTCGTGATACATACCGAATTCATGATGAACGGCTTGGGACATAGCCTGGCTGAGCACGGCGTAGGAGTTGCGGGTCTCCAGCATCCGATTGCTGCTGCCGCCACCGCCTCCTCCTCCACCGGAAGGTGACGATTTTGAACTGTCTGCACCGGCACCGTCTGCCTTGGCAGCAGAGCTGGCAGCAGGTGATCCTACCGAATCACCTCGAGATCCGCTGTTGCTGCTGCTGCTGCCACGCTGATCATGATGCTGCTGCTGCTGATGTGAGGGAACTTTGTGCTGCTGATGCTGTTGCTGTTGATGTTGATGCTGTTGTGCTGAATAGGTTTGCCTTGAGTTGGGTTGTATGTCATCGGCAGCGCCGAAGCACGACACAAACACGACTAGCAGCAGCAGTAAAGTCACGGGAAGCCAGCTTCCGATTGCTCGTACGAATTGGGGAGGTTTCATTTCCTCGCGCCCTCTGCTGCCACGCCACACACACGCACGCACTCTCACACAAGGTCGGTGTACGTCCACGACACGTCGGAACACTAAGATTTAGGATGTTTTAGAACCGAACCGACTTGTACCCCGGAAGATTCCAGACGGAAAATCAAAACTAAAAAGCCAAAACCGATTCACTATCATCGAGCGAGTCTCATTATGTGCTACTCTCTTCGAGGTGATTGATAGTTGTAGTTGTACTTTACTGCCGTCCCGTTTCTGCGTCTAGTACTGCTGCTCCGCCTTTGGCATTGATCTTGAACGGGTTGCTCTCTGTCTCTCGCGCGCGATCGAACTTCCGTAATCACGCTCAACTAGAACTACTAGCTTCGACGTTTGCCTTTTTCGCTTCCAGAAACTGACGATTCTCAGTTGGACGTACGACCTTCACCTTCCTCTCGTCGTCGTCGCCGTCGACTCGGTACTAGACAACGAACTGCTATTTGATGGCACACTTTGTAAACGCAGATATGTAGCTTGGCCCTACCGAAGAGCTAGCTTCCACTTAGGTACCCCAATTAATTGACTCCCGGAGATCTCCGTCGACTGCTGCTGCAGCGCACTATTCACTCTTCACTCCGACGACAAGACGATGCTCGTTTCTCACAACACATGCAAATTTTCCTCTTCCTACAACAGTCCTACGACAACACACAATACACAATTGAAAATGATGCGAAAAAATCCCATACGGGACGAGACGGTCGGTCGACGGGAGAAAAAATGTATCGGAAAATTACACCTAAAAATAAGACTTTTTTCCATCTGATCTTTCGCGAGATACACACACTCACACACATACACACACACACACGTTGCACTCCCGGACTCGACCTTCTCGACCCTGCGGCTGCAACAGTCCCGAGCAAGCTTCTTCCGCGAAATCACTCCCGCACTGGTTCCCGCGTGATCGTCGAATTTTTGCAAATTTTCTTCCCCTGTCCTCCAGAACGAGAGGTGAACCTGTAGTGTGACAATATTCTTCCTCCGTCGTCGTCGTCGTCACCACCTTTTGCTATGTACTCAGTAGTTTTTCGTCTCCGTTTTCGGTGGCCACCCACAAATACACACCCGAATCTCGTTACACACAGCGCGCACTGCTGCAATGACTGACGATCTTCCTTCGTTCGGATAGTTCCTCAGAATGCACGTCCTACTACAAGCCACTACCTATAGACAAACGATGATCATCTCTATCAGCACTCAGCAGAGGCCTTTGTATTAACACTTCTTTTTTTTTTCGAGCACGTACTGTATTAGGATGATTGAAAGACGATCACACAACAATAAATTTTTTCCTCGCTTTCGATTCACCTAAAGCTGCTGGTGACACACACTCGGAATCGAACTCACTCGCGGCGCGGCGTATAAAGTAATGACCATCCGTTCCGACGATTCGAGCGAACGAACGAACGAACTTGCTGCTAATAGTAGAAGCGCAGCCAGTTTGCTTGAGCAGCAGCAATAATTAAATACGTAAATAATGTTCTTTTAACGATGGTTGGTGGGCTGCTTGCTCGTGTGGGGCTGTTTTGGTGGTGGATCGGTCAGCAAGTCAGCTCGTGGTGAGACGGTATGTCAAAAGCAGCTGTCATAAACACTGTTCGGTTGCGTCGCGGCGCACCCAATCGCCCAGCCGTTCGTTTCGCTCGCTCACGCTGGGGTGCCTCAATGGGAGTAGGATTCTGTTTTCCGACTGATGTTTGCGACGGCTCTCTCGCTCGGGCACCGTCGTCATCAGCCGAGATGGTTCCTGAAAGTATATAGTGGCAGAAAAACGATAAGTTGTTGGTTGTGTGCGGGTAATGCGAAAAGTAACAGTGTTGTTTGTACAAATTGCTGTGGGTGGTTGTTTTTTACGATTTTTACACACAAACACGGTAGATGCAGTGTTGGCAGGAGTCAGTGAATTCCGATTAGCAGTTTCCCGGTTGTGCGATATACATTTTAATTAAGTACATATAAAGCCGACAGCCGATGCAATCACTAGGTTAAATGGGTCATTACTAAGACAGCAACATTTTTCTTGGATCTTGACTATGGTTCTGCGTTCAAAGTCTTCAAAATGTGTCTGTTTTGACTACATTTAAAATTTTTTGATGTTCATGTAGCGTATGCTAACGTACAAGTGTGACCATGGATGTGCTGATAATTTATTATACAAATAATGCTCATGCTAATATTGTGTCATCCAAATGCCAAACTCATAATTATTATACAAATAATGCTCATGCTCATAGTAGGTCATACAAGTGTATCCGCGGCAAAAGGGATCCTCTCGAATCTTGAAAACATACGGTACTGAGGCTGTTGGTGTATATTGGGATCGTTCGTATCACTCATTGCAGTAGGCGAACGTGAAACACCTGCAGAGTTTCTTGTTGTGAAAGGTGGCTAATACCCTGGACAGAATTGACGAGTGCACGGATGAATTTGAGTTCACTCACTCGACAAAAAGTGACACAACAGCGGGGCCCTGTTTACTAAAAATGAACACATGTGTTCATTTTTAGTAAACAGGGCCCCGCTGTTGTGTCACTTTTTGTCGAGTGAGTGAACTCAAATCCATCCGTGCACTCGTCAATATGGCTTGTATCATGTAATGTATCTGTCTTGCAATGAGCACTCATACATCTAGTTTTCACTTGAAATCCTATGTATGAGTGCTCATTGCAAGACAGCCTATATTAAATTATATAAGCCATAGTCTAGTCTGTCCAGGGTATAACCAACAATCAATACGAAACTAACGATTTTAAATTGGCTCACCACTTTAGTAGCCTATTGGTCCCAAGCAAACGATTAACGTACCCTATTCTAGTTGAAATTCTATCACTACACTATGTTTGTTTTGATTCGCTATGAAAGTTTGACAGATAACATCAGGGGTGTGTGGATTCATGCAGAACATGCAGGGGTGAGTGAAATAGCTTGGGACTGCTTGGGACCGTTGTTCTGGTACTGAGTGAGCCAAAAATAATAATGATTTTCTTCGGGACCCAGTGGTCTTAGAGTTACCTCTATGGTATAACGTTGCATATTAGGAGACGTCACTGCTAAAGGGCTAAGTGTCCTACGTGTGGGGATACAGACCAGTCGAAGCATTGAAGCCGTTCACTAAAATAATGTATGCCTTATATTCACATGGACCCAAATGCCAGTTCCAGTATTCCAACCGATGAGAAGGATTCCCATTCCTCTTGAAGAAGCTGTCAACCGAAAAAATGATCAACTATTACAGCGTGACATTATTGAGGTCAAGTCGGGGCCCACTAGCTGGGTGACTCCGTTAGTGGTTGTAGGGGTAAGGAAAATGGCGAGCCGCGTCTCTGTCTTGACCTTCGTCGAGTCAACGAGGCTGTCTTGAGGAAGCATCATCCTATGCCGATTGTCAATGACTACATGCGCTTGGGAAAAGGAGGAGTTTAGAGCAAACTAGACATAAGGGAGGCATTCCTACAAATCGAGTTGGCGAAGGAGAAGGAGTCACGTGATGCCAATGCCACTGCATTCATCACGAATCGTGGTTTGTTCCAACTTAACCGTCTACCATTTGGCCTGGTGACCACGCCAGAACTGTTCCAAAATACCATGAACGGGGTTTTGCTAGGCTGCGATGGAACTTACTGGTATTTGAACGATGTCATCATCGAAGGGAAATGAAATCAAAGTAGTCGTTGGATTACCTGACCTGGTCACTCCTGTTATTTTTTGCAGTCAATCCAATTCAAGAGCTCGATGTGAGCAATTCAAGTTTGCTTTAATAAAACATTCTTTTGTTCGTTAAGTCTCGGCCTGTTCATTATGGCCCCGTTCTGTCCACGTTGTTCCTTCAGGAAAGACAAATGTCTGTTCAGGGTAACATAATTAGTGCTTCAAGGGGCACAGAATCTCCCATAGGGGAATCAGACCAGCCGAATCGAAAATCCAAGCTATTTTTGTCCTTCAGAGAAGAAGAAGGTTTAACGTATCATGCATCAATACTTGTCAATTTCACCGTTTATATAGTGTTCCAGTGATTGCTATGATCCAAAATTTCCCCCTAAGGTTTTGTCATCCAGTAGGGTTTGAAACGGGCCGGAATTTGAATCATACGCCATCCTCTTTCCAAGAGTGGAGTTCCCGGATGGGCTGCCTCCTCAATTGCATCTGTTGGTTCTGGATCGTCAATACCTTCATATCAGCAGGGGATTTTCCGCCAAGATCGCTGGTTGGAGTTGAGCGATATACTTGCAGGAATGTTTGCAGCGCTTCCTCAAGCGTTTCTACTCCATCCGAACGAATTTTCCGAAGGCTTCTTTTCACGGTGTCCACAAATCTTTCAGCCAAACCGTTGGATTGTGGATGGTAAGGTGGGGTGCGGATGTGCCGAATACCAATATTGGTGCAGAATACTTGGAATTCGTGTCCTGAAAACTGAGTGCCATTGTCGGATACGATTATCTCGGGTACATCAAATGTAGCGAATGACTTGTTCAATAGTTTGATGGTGGCTTTCGCTGTTGCCGATTTGGTTACGTGCACCTCAGACCACTTGGAGTGCGGGTCGACCATCATCTACAGGTCCTGCATAGTCGATGAGAATCCGGGACCAGGGTTTACTTGGAATGGGCCACGATTCTAGTGTCGTTTTCGTCGGAGCTTTACCAGCTGTGGAACATGGTGCGAAGCGTTTGACGAATTCCACGATCTCGTTATCCATACCGGGCCAGTATACAAAGCTTCTTGCAATTGCCTTCATACGAACCATTCCTGGATGACCACGGTGGAATTGTTGCAGGATCCTTCGTCGAAACATGTTGGGAACGACGTCTCTATCGCCGAACATCACGCAGCCGTCGATTACACTGAGCGATTCTCGTCTGTTGTAGTAGGGTTGAGCTTCAGCATCGAAGAGAGTTTTGTTGGGCCAACCAACATGGATATGCTTGGCAACGGTTTGAAGAGTGCTGTTTGTTGCTGTAGCCTTTCGAAGTGCTGCGAAAGAAACTGGTACTATTTCCGTTGTGTCTGCCAGGATGCTTACCAAATCTTCTTCCATGGTTAGTGATGCAATCACAAATTTTTCCTCTGGTGGATTGGTTCGGCCGATGAGCTGGGATAACAAATCTGCACATCCAAAGTCGTTGGTGGACACATGTTGAATTTCGAAGTCGTAATTGAGCAGCGTGAGTGTCCAGCGTTGCAGTCTGTTCGCAGTGTGGAGTGGAATGCTCTTTTTTGAACCGAAAATAGACAGCAATTGCTTGTGGTCGGTCAACAATGTGAAATGTCGTCCGAGCAAATACTTATGGAACTTCGTCAATGCGTAGACTAACGCAAGTCCTTCCTTTTCAGGTTGTCCATAATTACGTTCTGCGGGTGCACGTCACAACCTTCATGATGCCATCGAGAAACTGGTGAAAGATTACTGCACCGATGCCAGTGCTTGATGCGTCTGCTGCCACGATAATCAACAACAAGTTTGATTGAAGAACTGTCTTGAACTTTTCGAAAGCTTGCTGACACTTCGATGTCCATTTCCACTTCGTTTCTTTCTTGAGAAGCTTGTCCATGGGATAGCGCAATTCTTGTAGGTTGCGCACAAATCTTCCGTAGAAGTTGACCGTGCCCAGAAACGGTCGCATCTCAGTGATGTTGGTTGGAGGTGGCATTGCAGTGATGGTTTTGATTTTCTCGGGGTCTGGACGGATACCTTGTCGGTCCACGATGTGTCCCAAGTAGCGGATTTGCGACTGGAAGAAACTACACTTCTCTGCCTTGACGTGGAATCCATACTCCTGAAGACGTAGGAAAAGCTGGTTGAGTGATGCTGCTTAAACGGATTTTTTGGAGAAGCAGCCACAGTAGCCTTCCTTGTGGCCGATACGGTTGCACTGATGATTCGAGAATGGACAATCCCGAACATAGTGCATCTGGCCGCATTACCAACAAGGTGTGCGAGGCGAATTACCTTCCGTCTGCGAAGACTGTTGTTGTCGAGAGGTTCCCTTCTTCTCCTGAACTGCGTGCACCGTTGGTTTCGAGCTTGACTGACGCTCGATCATGGATGTGTCCACCGGAGAGTTACGGGAGCTTCTGGTGTTTTAGCTTCGATCCGGGAGAGTACCTAGCCTGCCTCGTATGTCTGCATAGCAATGGCTTTTGAGACCGCAGACAAACACCAAGCATTTGAATTGGTCAATCTTCACGTTCTTGAAATCGAAATCCTCGCAAGCACGGTTGACTTTGCCTCCATATGATGATGTCTTCTGCTTCAGATTTCACCAGCTGCAGGCACTGATATCGCTTGCTGAAGATGGAGGTTTGTGATCCGAAGATCTTCTTGAGGGTTTCGATTGTGTCAGCAAAATTGAAGTCTTTTGGAAACTTCGGCAGGATGTAGTTGGTGTACCGGGTGTGTGACGGTGTATCCGACTTCCTCAGCAGCAATCGGACCTTGGTCTCTTCTTGATGTTCGTTGCCAAGGCCTCGAGTGTTTGTTCCGGGTTGCTATGGACTTTATTATTCTCCTTAATTGAAGATCGGGGGCAATTTATCAACCCTCTCGGGGCATTTTATCAACCCTCTCGAGGGAATTTCTTCAACTCTCTCGGAGGAATGTTTTCTACCTTATCGGAGGAATTTGTTCTAAATACTTGGAGAAATATCTTCCCTCTCGGAGAAATTTTTTCGACCCTCTCGGGGGAATTTCTTCTACCCTGTCGGGGAAATTTCATCTACCCTCTCCGGGAGCGCCAGTAGCATGCTCGC